ATAAAAATGTCCCAAGAAAACAGCATGTTCTATTTGATCCTACCTGGAGGATTTCTGTCTGTTATTAAGGCAATTTTGTATCAATTTTTTGTCTTGATTCCTGTAAAGTTAACTTCCACATATACAAGCCACTTGCATTAGCTTAAAAAGCAAATTTCATCGGGGTACAATTTTAGAAGTAGGGAAGTACAGTATTAGCAGATCTCTTTAGGGAATTACTTCTCCTCCCACCAAATTTAAAATATATGTATCTATTCTGGGTTTTATATGCTTTGTGACAAAGATTAATAAAGATTTCCAAATCAGAAAGACGTCGATCTCACCCTTGGAAAGCCTACTTTTTAAGAAGCACCCAGCAAAACTCCATGCTCCTATCTTCCCAAACATCTTTATCACAGCGCTTCAGTCTCCTGTAAGGAGCCACCCACAAAACCAGTGTTGCAAAGTCTCCTGAAGGCCACCACTTTCCAGCTAACCTGGGTGAGTAGCGGCGAGCAGTATCGCAAACAGAACATGGATGTTCGGAGCTGAGAGGACTCTCTGTTTCCTGGTTTCTACCCCAGCCCTGTCTGCAAGCACTGCTTATAGATGTTTGCAGTATTAAACTTCAGCTTGAGCAGTGTACTTACATTTGTGTGCAATTCCCAAGTTATATAGCAACAGGCAAAGTACTACTCATGAATTCGAAGCTATGTATAATATCGCTGAGTCAGGAGCTTCTTGAATGAAATCAAGATTTCCAGTATAATCACTTTGACCGCAGTGTCGTTTCAGTAGCAGTAGCAGCAGCAGCAATACACTACACACACTCCCTTCTTACTGGTCCTGCCCTCAGAGCAAATGGTTCCAAGTTCAGAATGACCTCACCAATTAGGAAGGTATTGCTACTTAAAATACGTACAGTGACTTGAATCTCAGGAAGTCCAAACACACTGCAAACCCACAGAAAACAATCTCCATTTTATTCATGGTAAAACACAATGGTTTGGCAAGACTAAATGACATGCCCAGGACGAAACACTCTTCAGAGTCGGGAATGCCACACTGGAGTGACAGCCGGTAACATTTACTTTCAAATCACTGGTAAGAATTGAAGTATTGAAAATCTTAACAATTGTACGAAACTAACCCATAGGCTTCATTGAGTTAGTAGCCATGACTTCTAAATTGAGCTTTACCATTTGTTCACCATCTCCTTTTCCTCTGTCCTCTCTGTGAATTAGATTCCCATCAGGGAAAACAGGCCCAGAAATTTGATGCAACTTGCCCAAGATGGCCCAGCCAGTACCCAGTCCCCTGCAGGTCCAAATACAGTTTTCAATGAAAGTCACATATTTTGGAATTAATATTCATCTAGTGGCTACTAATATCCAAAGTATTCATAACTTGTGATAGCTGCTACTGAAGAAAGCAGGTGTTTCAGTTGTTGCTTCTTTTTAAACATAATCAAACCATACAAAACTTGATGAAATACAAGGACTTCCATAAACTGAAGCAAAGGAAGTATTAAAACTATGTTCCTACATGCACTTTCTTAGCATATCACAGTATCTTTCATGCTTTATTCTTGGTGCCAGCTGGATTGTATGTTTCAGTAGAGTCTTCCACAGAGCTGGCTACTTTGAACTTCTGCCTTTAGTTACAACCTAGAAATATTTGGTCTGTGAAAATACTGCAAAGTGTTAATATTTTAGAAATTGATTTCTGATGTCAACACTCCAACTATAATTGCATTATTTCCAACCTTTAGTGACAATGTGAACAATCAGTTTCATGACTCTATAAAGGAAAACCCCCACAAACACAAAATAATCCTAATAACGGTGTTTTACTCTTTTATTCTGCCTTTTTTTTTTTTTTTTTTTTTTGCATGAAGACTAAAGCACAGTGTGATTGGGGTAAATGGGTAAGCAATGTTTGTGCCAGCTCAGACACTGTTTCAAGATTTCATATAAAAGCAAAAGCTGATTTTAAAATTCATGTGTGGTTGTTAGCAGTATTCCACACATGGGTATGGGATTTTAAATGGTCATTTAAAACCGTAACGCTAATTAATCAATCTTACAAAGCAGGCATAGTTTACTCTGGATTTTCTAATGCCACTGAGATGGGATTCCTTTCTGACAGATTATATTAAAAGACTAAATGTTAATAAGACTTTGAATGATGGCTGTAGCTAACTTCTTCCTAAAGATGCTTTTAGCATCCACATTGCCTAGATGAGCACGGATTTTCATCCTGCTGGAAAGGTAGCTTTTAATCCAAGAAGATGCCTTCAAAGTCAAAAGCCAACACATGTAACCACCCACACAAACATGAATCCAGACTCTCTCACAATCTGCTTTAGAGGTATCCACGTTTCACAACAATGGTTAAATGTTTGTAGGACAGGTAAAGGCCTTAATGGACTGCGGCTTTAAACCTTCTGACTTGTCTATTGGTTATACCGTGAAATGACACTCAGGTTCTGCCTCCATCCGACCGTCTTTGTTGTGGAAGTAACTGGCACACTCGGAGTCAGAGTCTCAGACCAAACGGATGTTTTCAGTCAGGTATTAACACCTTTGGCCAAACTGTACACTATGTCTCTCCCTATTCAAATCACTTCCAGGCAAGCTTGTCTTCAGAAGACGGGGCATTTTGCAGCCCTGATGGCTTGAGCACATGCTTGACATCACAGTCTGATACGATGAACAGACTCTAAATCTTCAAGGGATCAAAGAGTACCAGCATGCTTACTGCCCTGATCATTCACAGCTTGATTTACAGACCACTGTAGTCACTGACAGCACAGAGAATGAACTGTGAGCTTCTAGATGATGCTCAGCATTGCAATGAAATTTTTATAGCCCAATTGCCTTTTATTTGAAAACTAACTTTAAATGTGATTTTTCATGCAATTGTTTCTTAATGTGCAGTAGCAATTAATTTCCTTTAAGTTGCCTAAGATTTTCCTAACATGGTAGGTAAGTGAGACCCAACTGCAATTCATAGGACAGGCTGATTTACTTCCTCAGGTTCCTTCACACACACACAAAAATATTTCTCCTTTGTTATTTAGAGGACCTCTGAGGTTACGATAAGAACTTCTGCCCTTTCCTCCTGGCACCAGCCAATTCTACCCAACATTTGGAAGGACCCATGAACTTCTGAGCAGACCCTGCATTTCAGCTGAAAGGCACAGAGGAAGGCCTCGTTACTTGCAGACATTAAGGAGGGAGCAATGTGAATGAGGAACCATCTTTCTGCTTTCATTTCCCTGTCACTTTTGACGTCCTGACACAACAGCCCACTGCGAAGGTGACAAAGAGGGAGAGAGATGCCAAACTCGTAGAAGGCTAGAATTACCTTCCTCAGAGCGACCTCTACAAACTAAAATAGCAATAAGCCATTTGCCAATCTGCAAGCTATGATCTCTATGAAATGACAGTGCCCAAGTCTCCAAATCACTTCCACACAAACACCTGCAATGCTGGCAAACATGTGCATGTGATAAAAATCTGCAGCGTGTTTAGTACATGTAGCTCACTATGGATCTCCTCCCTTTCTTGTCTGCAACCTTCTCCTGCTCTCCAGCTCCTCCAAGAGTTCAGATTATTCTGCATTTTCCCCATCCTTTTCTGTGCACATACTGCTTTATTTCTCCTTCCCTCTCTCACATACCCTTTTACCCCTGCACTTTCATTCTACCCCAACTTCTTTTCCCCTTTTCTGTGCCCCACAAACCTGGCTTCTTTGAATTTCTGATCCTTTGAAGATCTCTCATTTTATTCTTCCCACTAAGCCCAACAATAACCTCCTCTCCCCAGTAAAATACTTCCTTTCTCCTACCTACACATAGATGGGATTGCTCACCCTTTTACCGTGCGCAGTCCCTGAAGGAGAGGAGGACAAGGACCACTCTTCTCTCTTTCCAGAACGGGCAGTTTCTTGGTACATTGTGCTCTCCCCTGAGAGAAGCATCTCAAGAGGCACCTCTCTGGCAGGGTCACAAAGCAGGCTGACAATAGCTTTCCTCGGCTGCTCAGGAAATGCTTTGATGGTAATTGACTCTCTTCCCCAGGCAGAGTATCAAAGTGCAAATCAAGGCTTCCCCTAGAATTTGGATTTGGTTGCATGAGCTAGAACAATAGCGGTGATGCTAGACAGGCTTGATAATGGCTTCTATTTTAACTTCTGCCTTTATTTTTTAGAGCTGCCTGTCACTTGGCATTACTACCGTGCTTGCTGACCAGCGATATGTTTGTTTTCTTGTACTCCCTGCTTTTGTGTGGCTGTATGCCTCTACGGATTCCTCTAATACCTTCACTGCAAGCTCTGTGGGGCAGGATGATTCCCGCCCTGTTTGCACAGCCCAGTGCAGTGGGGACCCAGGCCCCTTCAGTGTTCTGTTAATACACAGCATCAAAATCTCGGGTCTGGTCACAGGAGGAGGAGGACAGTATTGGCAGGAAATGAGACCTTTCCTTGCTCCCCAGAGCCTGCCTACTGCCTTGCATCAGACAGAGCAAAAACACAAAACGGGCAGGATGTGTGCAAGGAAGGAGCTGAAACAGTGCCCAAGTGAATGGAAAGTATCCAGATGGCTGTGGTAACTCACACGATGGGAGTCAAATCAAAACAAAACGAAAACAAAACCATATGCCATGTACCCTTCACTCTCTTGCTCTCTTTCTCTCTCTGCCTTTCTCCTGGCTGTTGCCCCAGGTCTTTCTATCAGTACGGGTAATAGTATGTTACTCAATTATGTGTATGTCATGAATAACAATAACCCCTCTTTTACATTAGAGATCACGGATTACTGCTATTCATGTAACAAAGAATGTAGTATGAACCACAAAATTATACTCATGTAAGGGTCAAGGAAGTGTAAGGGTCTACAAGGGAAGTTATATTTCTTCATTAAATGCTTCTTTTTATCTGGTACGCTGTATACTTATAAAAGAGAATATTAACTTTACACGTCTATGTTGCTATATGCTATAGAAATATCTACTCACAACCTGCTTGTATCTCAGGGGGAGTATTCAAAAGCATCATGGCAGTGGCAGCATCAATGTCAGGATCTGGAAAATCAACCAATAAATACATTATTTACAACTGGGCTAACCTTCTTGCCCCCGTTGCTAAACTATAGGTTCAACCAAATCTCTGCAGTGAAAAGGTATTAAGAGTTCATTATTCAGAGGGCTCGTTGATCACACATTAAATTTACCCCCAAACTTGCATGTGATCCCATTGCTACTATTAAGTAGAGCGCCATGATGAATGTCATCAAACCATACTCATGTGTGCATGATACCTTCACCGTTAGCCTCATGAATTCGCTATTTAATTCTGTGGAGAGTATTTAGATTTCATTACAAAGGATCTGCGAAAGCAGGTGCAACATCACAATTTGGAAGCAACACACAGGGATGAGCTGACAGTAGAGTGGGAAAGCGTAAGGAACACCTACACCTGAGCGAGTACAGAAAAATGACACTTGGTCATTTTGATTTGTCGATAAGGATTTCAGCGATGTTTGAGAAAGTGTTGGAAGCCAAACTGCTACAAGTAAGGGGGGGGGAGAAACTAGCATTTCATTGAAGCACCAACTTATTTGCATCCTCATCCACTGTCACTTTAATATAAGCAAAAATCATCGGCTGGCTGCTGTTATTCTTAAATTGGTTTCTGAATCCATCACGAACAGTCAGTTGACAGATGGTAAGTTATAGAGACAGAACAAAATATGATCCTTTTATAACTATATTCACTTGCTCTGCACACAGCAGCTCGGCTGCTATGGAAATGTAGGTAGCTATGACAACAGTAAACAACCCCAGAACGGCCACTGAATAAGCTGAAAAGAACATCTGCCCCAGCAAAGCGTCCCAGCTGCCCTGGGGCGCAACTTGCTAATCGTGCAGTGATGCCATGTGACAGAGAAAGCCGCCTATGCCATGTCCAAATAAATGAAGTGTGCAATTGAAGCAGACATAAAAACGCACACCCTGGCCGACTGCTGCCTCTGTGCTGCTAAACTGAATGACTAATGAGCATGCATTTGTTGTTTGGGTTTTCTTTTTCCAGCTTGTCAGTATTTATACTAAATTACATACCAAAAAATTCAATTTACTGCTAATAGCTTCATGGCACTTTATTTTGGCTATTATATCAGAAAATTACTTTTCACTGTTAAAAAAATATATGTATATTGTATCTTTATATATTTCAAATCTATTTCCAGTAGAGTAATGTAATGTGGTATAAAGTCCTGCAATTTATTAACAGTACAAATGACGTAGAGAGGATTTCAGTATCTGCTTGAGCAAAATAAAAATTCACTTGACCGATTAAGGAAAAAAAGCGATTTTTTTAGTAGTTTAAGTATGTACTATTTTTCTGTGAATAGCTGGAAACACACTTCTAATGGCTACTCTATTATTTAATTGCTGAAACAGTAAACAGAGCAACAGTGCAGCGGGTGTAAAGCTAAAGTTGAAGCAGCAGCAGACTAAATTAGTGTCAAAGTTACCAGCAGACTCCTCAGAAAAGCAGCTTTACCAACTTATGTTCATCTTCAAGTCTGAAGATACATCAAAAGCAATATTTTCCTGCTGCAAGCAAATATGCTGAAAGTGCCATTTCCAAACAGCTTCGCTCCCGAATATGTGCCATGTTGCAGGACTGGGGCCACGCAGCACACACAGCAAGAGTTTCGCTTTAGTCAAACTGAAGAGGGATAATCTATCTAACATTAAAAAGCAAGACAAAAAGCAAAGAAGGCTGAGAAATAAAGCCAAACCAAACCAGAATTCTTCAATCTCTTTCATACCATAAAATAAGACGACTGTTAGAAGTTGAATTCCCTGTATCGTAATTCATACAGACAACTTCAGCATTTGTTTATCAGCTGTTCCTAAATTCTGTTTTCTTGTTTTACTTTAAATAAGGTCCCACCAGTGGGCAACATTGTAGCACACTTAATTTTGCTGTTGAAAGAATAAAAGGACACAACCAGAAAAACCACATTTCCTCCTGACTTCAGGTTTTGTCTGTGTAACAAACGCTGTGCTTCGAGATAAAATTGATGCAACCGGTTTATCTCGAAAGGTGCGTTCTTAGCCTTCGGACCACTAATGGTACCACCATGTTTCTGTAATGACTTCGCAACACTAACACAAGCTGTTTACAACACACGACTGCATCCACAGCAGCTGTTTTCCAAAGCACAACCACGATTCAAGCACATCCACATCTGCTACGGTGTCTGGCTCTGTTTCCATTGGTATATTCTTGAAGAAACCAGACAGCTATTCTATAACGCCTTGGCAGAGGTAAGAGGCCTTGGAGACACGCACCCAGGGTGGTGCCAGCAGGATCCAGGACAACGTGCTTTGGGTTGTCTTTCTGCAGAGAGAAAAAAAAAGGAGGGAATGGCTGCCCAAGGAAGTCAAGGGCCGAGCGCCAGCAGTCAAAGACCACACAAAGAGGTGAAGAAGCAACGTCCAAGGGCAAATTGAACGGCCAGTTCATTCTTGCGCAGTGTTTACACTTGCAATTCGGAAGTGTTCTCCTGAGAAGGATGTCAAGAAGAAGAGCCAAGAAGTAGTCACGAGGAGCAGCACGGAAGGCAGGCAGATGAAGGATCCTGCTTAGTCTCCTGGTACCACCAGTGCCCCCATGCCGACGGCCCTTTCCCCACAGCTGGCGTCTTCGTGAAGTCTCTTCCATGAGGATCCTCTCACTTGTAGCAGTAAGGGCTGACCTCAGATGGCAGCCCAACCAGCCTGGTACCTGGATCCTCTTGCCTTTACCCGCCCATCTGCCTTTGTGAAGCTGTGGGTTTCATAACAGATCTCTACCCTACCTGAAGTCTGAGATCAACACAAAGGCTCCTGAAGTTATTAACAGTGGGTGGTTAGTGAAAAAATGATTGCAGGAACATCTTTTTTTCCCTAGGAAACCAGGTTAAAAATAACTACATACAAAGTTTTGGAATTGAGAAAATTAAGTATTTAAATGAATGCATTCTGGTTTCCTTTTGCTAATTAAAGTGGTGAATTGACTGCATACACAAACTGTATATTTTTTGCCTGTGGAAAGCAGAAGATGCCCAACTTTCCTAGTGAAAGAGGAAAGTAAGGAACAACAAAGAAGAGGAAGGATTGTGGGTGTTGTACGGAGAAGGAAGAGTATGTCAAAGTCTCAAACAGGCAACATCAGAGAGCGACAAAAAAATAGTGACAAAAATTGCCAGCAGTCACAGCTCTCCCTAAAAGATGACTGCTGTCTATACACTCCGTGCTTCACGCTACAATCTGAAGTTTCAGTGCTTGGTCCCTCATGCACCAAGTGTCCTTCAGAGGGTATCAGAAAGGACCTGGAAGAAACCTTAACCACTCACACTAACGCAGAAGGCATGAAAGCATACATCCCAAAGCAGTTCAAAGCCAACAAGGGGCAGGAGCTCCACCACAGCTGCAGTATTTCCCCTTGCAGCGGAAGCCTACCGTTATTTTTGCCAGCATTGCTTTCAAAGACAAAACTTCTTTTGATGAAGATGATACCAATGAAGGATAAGTCACAAACCTCATGGCAGGTCTGTTGGCTGCATTTTAGATTCAAGCCCCTATTCAGCCAAGTGTTCAAAAGTGAACACCAAATCGGTAAACAGCACCTAGTTCTTTCACTGAGGAACTAACCTACAATTTATCACTTTGTGGAATTATGATCCAGTGCATATTGTCAAGATGTGCTTCGAGCCAAACTTCACTCTGCACATTATACCTCTATAGATCAGAATCTGTCCTGCACAGACATGTGGCGAAATAGTAGGCATGAAATATTTTGGCATGAGATTACATACAAACATTCAGCAACGCAGAGGATAACCCTCAGGTAGCAGACGGTTTATTCTAGAATTGACAAAAAATAATTAAAAACAAACAGGGTACCTGAGAAAGCTGGATGTGACAGCTGTCCTTTTATTATGTTTGTGGTCTCTGGTCCGAGTTCATTTCATAGAGAGAGGAAGTGTTTGATAGTAATTCATATTAGTTTGGTATTTTTGTTTCGAACTTTGATATGATTTCACTGAATGCTTCAAATCCACCCCCTTCCAACTAAATCGTAATAAAAATTAGGATAACACAGCCATGCTATAAGGTTTTAAAGAAAATAGCAGTTGAAGCAGTTCAGAGCAACCATGGCCTGAATTTTCCAGCACAGATGCCTAGATAGAGGCACTTAAGATGCATATTTAGGTACTACTAAAATGTTACTGCCAACTGACGTAAAAAATATAGTTAGTAAATAAACTGCACCATCTGTACACTACAACCATTGCCATGTTATCTCATCAGGAAGGAATTTATAAGATCTTTTAATTTAAACTTACTACATCTAAAATAGAACTATTTTTGTAAAGAATTTCACTTCACCGTTCAGTATGCTAGCTTTTGGCCCCTTTCTACTTCTGCCCCAACATCCTCCACTGCTTTTTTCCATTTAAATGCTCTACTCTAGCTGGAATGCATAAAACTGTACTGCCACTGTACTCAGAAGATAAAAGTCCAGTTTATTCCTTTTCTACAAGATCAGTCATTTTACTCCCTGCCTCAATTCCTAGCACAGCCCATTCCTACACGTTTTTTTGTGATCTGATTCTTTGATATTTTCAATTTTCAGCAGCAGGAAAATGTTGCAAAAGCAACACTCTGTCTTCCACCTCTTACCTTCCGGCTTATTAAACTGCACCAGAGCAAATAGCAGCTTGCCCCTGTTTAACTTGTCTGTTAATAGAAGTGCCTTTTCCCTTCCCACATCATGATGATTAACCTTGGTATGAGTCAGGTTAGGTCAAAGATACAGAGAATAATTAATAGAATGAAGGCTTTTTTTCCCCCCTACTTGTTTGTTTGTTTTTTCTATTTTTAATTTATTTTGCCTGATGACAGAATAAGAACATAGCTGTTAAAATAAAACTGCAATGTGCGAGATAGAAAGAAATACCTGAAGAGAACTGTAAGTACTGTAAACTCTGTCAAACTCCTTGGTGTAGGATGCCACTGAGTTCACT